TTGTTCAATCATCAGCCAGTGGTAGTTCTAAAAGAAATCAGTTTCTATATTTTCCTCAGAGGTGTCTTCATTTTCCCTATCAAACTCATAATCCAAATGTACTCAAGTCAGCAGGACCTAATGCCTAATTTGCTTATATGTATGGTGAAATCTAGTCCAGGGACCATCCATGGCCACTGCCCGGCTTCAAATATTAATGATTCTCCACAGTCCATAATGCATTAAAGGGGGGAATGATGCCAGCAACACGCAGTCTTCCTAGTGACAAGGAGCCTTCTCAGATCACAGGAGCATGGCGGTAAAGACTTCAGACTAAACTGTCTTAGTAAGAGATACTCACAAAAGGAGTGTCAAATCCTACACCCTGTTTCAGATATGAAACATCAATGAAATAAAGAAAGAAATAGACTCATTCATTTACTTTTCTGAGTTCATTTTACTGCAACTGCTTTGCTTTTCTCCTTTCTCATCATTAGAGTCCAAAAAGGATGTTATGCACTAAAACTGGAAGACATTACTAATGTTTCAAAAATAAAATGCCTACTGAGGAATTAATAGCATTTAAGCCAATATGATTTTGCTAATGGAGACTAAATGGCACATAGAGAATAATACAAGAGCAAAGTTAAAATGGATGTAAGAGCTATAAAGCATACGTAAGAAGCAGATACACATAATAATTTAAGTTGTCCCTTTATGTCATTTGTCACCCAGCCACATCTGCTCTTACACCTGTGCTCCTTTTCTTGATCTATCCTGACACTCTGGAAATGTTAGGCACGCAGCCAATTTCATACCCAGCCATTCCTATGATCAGACCCAGCTACTGACTTGCTTTATTCTTACATTAAATCAAGAATCAACCCCAGGGCTCTGAACTACTTCTGACTGACAGGACCAACAGAAAGTTCTAGGCTAATTACTTCTTAGGATTAGTTCCTAGCACAAAGTGTTACTGCTGACCTACTTTGGACTTACTGAAATAATTTATCTGGTAACATAATTAAGAGAATATAAAGCTGTTTCTAAAACCAACCAAATATCAGAAATATTTGTTGAAATCATAAGTTGTTATTCCCAGTGCTATCAGCTGGGACTTTATTACTTTGCAATGAGTCAATTTTATTATGTTCAACTTATCAGCCATTCTTTTTCTTTATAAATTATATTTGACAGAATACATTTGAGAGTCTCTTTGATGTATAGCTGTATCAATTTTGACTTTTTTTTAGTTTGGATATAAAAAGAAACAATCTTTTAAGCCCTTCTTTTCACTTTTTCTTAACCCCTGCCCCTAAACAGGCCACACATCCCTTTGCACAGCTATTGCGATTATTTTGATGTCCATCCTAAATAAGGGGATGCCTGGATATGAGAGTGGCCATATATGTGGTGTGGACCACTTACCATGTGGACTTTTAGTTCTCTGTTTTGAGAGCTTAATTCTTTCCTACACTTAGGTAAATATCCATAACTGAAGAATTTTCTGTAGTAATGGTCTTTCCTTACTACTGAAAATGCCTGATCATTTTCTGAGTTCTACTGCCTTAATGCTCTCCATATGAAGAAAATGACAAGAAAAAAACCTTGAAACAAAATCATGGAACATAAGTGAGAGGCCTATGAGTTTATAAATCACATTTTCTCAAACTAAAGGCATTAAAATGTTAGTACGATATTAGTATATTGTTTATCAATGCCATTCTCTAATAAGTATTTTTCTCCTATTATTCTACTTTCCTTACTCTTCTCCCTTTCATTTATTTTTCCTTTCTCATGTACAGTGTGACTTGCTTCTTAAGTCAAGAACTCATGTAAATAACTATGAAAACAAGGTCAACTTATTGTACTGGTGTCTTGATTCTAATAAAGAATTATCATCATCTAGAAAGTACCTGAGTACCTCTGAATAACTAGACTAAGTCCTTGTAGTGTAATGGAAGAGACGAATTTCTTAGGCAAGAGTTAAAGAAAGATCAAGAGTTAATTTTTCACCTTTGTTTTAGAATTGCAGATACAATAACATTATTTCTCAGCAGTATTTCCTCACATCTTGTTATTACTTCACGTTACAGGGTTGAGGAAATGTGTATGCATAAAGCTGGAGTTTGGTGTCAAAGAAGAAAAATAATACAAAACGCTGAGTGGTCTTCTTTGTTGCCATACAACATAGGCATTGTTTTATGTTTGTGAGAGGACCTGGCCATGGTTTCATCCAAAATCAATGGCACTTCAAAGCTCACCTGAATCAGCTGATGGTACAAGAGTCAGATCGCTCCCCTATTGCTTCCTCTCTTACTTTATAGTGTCTTTCATTCCATGCCTATTTAATTTCATTTATTGCTTTATTTCTGTGTCCTTTAAATCTTTCCAATTTGTCCTTCATGGCTATAACTAAATGTAATACATTAACATCCAAAGGTATTTATGTAAATGAAAATCAATATGCTTATCATTTCAGCACCATTTCTTATTGCTTACATTGGACATTCTAAGTACATTTTATTCAAACGCTAACAACTCTTCATTCTTGCCTGGCAAGTATAATCATCTTCTTGGCTCCCTGCCCTCTGAAGCCCTCTAATCTTCACAGCTACGGCCACTTAGCCCCATCTGGAGGTTCAGCTTTTTTCCACATTTTGGAACTAATCTTGTCTCTAGGCTGAGGGTGTACAAGAAATCCTTAGCCAGAAGCTAAGTGACTCAGTATCCAGTCAGCCTTATTACATTTGACCTTGTAATTTATTTCTGAGATCCAGGTGCTGGCCCCAGCCCCCTATACCAAGGCTTGGCTTTCTTCTATACTAGTTCTGGCAAGTGGGGAATCTCTCCAGTCTCGCCTGCATTTGTCTCTGACTAGTTTTCCTAATTGATATCTTCTCACTGACTGAATTTCTACCTTGCCTTCTCTGTTTCCTCTGTAACTCAGTTTCTTTTTATAACTACAGTTGTCATGGGTGTTGAACCTCTCTGACGCCACTGGACTTGCCCATATCTCCTTGTACTGCCAGCCTTCATACCATAGATCTGATCTTTTGCTAGGAGACCAGGAGTGACACTGACTGTCTGGACATTTTCCCTGCCTACTGCAGCCATCTCTCTTGTCAGCAGCTCTAACCCTGTAGGTCTTGAGTCAATGAATCTAAGCTGCCTGCAGTCTGGCCATCTCATTATCCCAGACATGACAGGGAAGAAATATTTGAATTGCATTTTTGGCTGAACTGTTATGCTAACAGCCTCTCAGTACTTCCCCTTCATTTCTTCATATGGCCCTACCACTTACACACTTTAAAACTCAGTGCCCTCTTTGTAAAGTGAGATCATAATGAAATATGCCCCTTGGTTATTTTGAAGATAACTGGGGAAAAATGCATACAAATGGACCAAGCCTAAATAAGCAATTAGTAATCTTCACTTGCTATTATTATCTCACTGCTTAAATCTTTGCACTTGTAAAGTGGAACTATGTCACTTAATGAGGATCATTAGTGAGATGAGAAACTAAAGGAAAATTCCAATTTTTTAAAAGTAAAATAATTGACAGCGAAATATTTATCAGCTTTAAAAATAATGTTGAATAGAAGCAGTTATCAAAAAACATTAAAAATGAGATATTTTAAAAGTATATTTTCTGTAAATGTGTCCTAATATATGGAACCCTAAAGCATTTAAGGGGAAGAAAGACTTTTTGAGTCAGTCATTTATTTCAGAGCAGTATTTTGTGATCATTTGGGGAATTTTATATAAGTAAAATTCTAAGTCCCAGTTTTCTGAAATGGTTCATTAATTTACCCTAAGAACCCCATCCAGTTTGCTCAGTTGGTGTCCTCAACTTAATCTGCACTTGAAAATATTTTGAAATATTTTAAGTGCAGACTGTTTAACTCTTGCCAAAATTATGTTGCCTTAATTTTTTTCTTCTTGTCCCTTTGATGAATTGTCCCCTCCACCCACAAAAGTTTGATCAAAATGATTGCTTTATTTAAGATATAATTAATGTATAAAATTATATAAATTTAAGATGTACAACAGGCTGATTTGATACACTTGTATGTTGCAATATGACTACCACTATCATGTGAGCTGATACCTCCATCAGGTCATACACCACTCTTTTTGGTGGCAAAAACATTTAAGATTTACTCAGCCACTTTGATCAAAATGTGTGTTAAGAGCTTTAGGCAAGCGCAGCCTGCATTTTGAAGAAAACAAAGGACAGCATACCTGAAAGGTATGGGTAAGAGCCAATGAGTGAGAGAGGAAGAAGGGAGAGGGGAGAGAGAGGAAGGGGGGAAGGAGGGAGAGAAAGGAGAGAGGGAGAGAGACAGAGAGACAGAGAGCTTCATTCACTATCACGCCACAAAGACCTCTGAATTCCGAGTCATTCACTTTGGATGTGATCAAGGCTGTCCTGAACATATGTCCATGACCTAGAAGCCTAACATTTTGGGACTCATTCAAAATAATAAATATTCACTATTTGTTCAGCATATCTTTACAGGAGAAGCTGAGTATGGCTAGGATGAAGGGAAAAGCTGAGCCTAGAGGGTGGCTCAGAGATCTTTCTTTGCTTCCCCATATCCCCATTTCAGCTGCAGGCATGCATAGGCATACCCTTAAATAAAATCTCTGTGGTTACCCAGATCTGCCGTCTTAGACACTTGATTACCAAGTGTCCACTGTTTCTTGACAGTGTCTCTTGAGAAATGTTCTGGTAAATACGATTATTTTCTCCATCTCTTAACATTGACAGTATTTCAGAGTCTCAGTGACACCTTTTCATATTTCACCAAACAAAGTGGGGAAGCTGGGCAGCTGCGTGGCTGGTCCAACTCTTAATTCAGTTTCAGAAATTCCTTGCTGTTATTATAGCCCTCATAGCCCCTCTTAGGAACTAGAGAAGAAAAATAAATGCTGAAAAATGTCTTCTTTAGGAAATGCTTAAAGAAGTAAAAATAAATTATCATTGTTTTGTTTAAAAAATAAATAAAACACGTTACCAGACATCCTCAGCATCTTCGTCACATTCTGCCCCAAACTGGCAAATATCACAGGTGGATGTCTCCTTTTGACTGGTTTCTCCTGAGCCTTCATGGACTGTGAGGACAGAGAAAGGAAACAAAAATAACTCAGATAAGTGTTTGTAGTACCATCAACTCTAATACTACATTAAAGCTGCTACTTTTCCAATGGACCCACTTGCTATTAGAGCTTCATAAGAATGTCGTCCTCAACTGCTTTTTCCTCCCAATTCAAGGACGACTCTAACAATAATATTAATATGCCACCCACTGGTATGTAGTGAACACTTCAGCCTTTTACAAGTAAAATAAAACTAATGAGAGTTAACTGGATTTATCAAAATTGCTCAGCTAATAATTAAACCAAGTGCAAATTATTTTATGGAAAGGGATTCAGAATATTTTCCTTGCCTAGAGGAAAAAAATTAGAGTATAATTTATTTTAAAGAATATCTAGCATTTTCTCATTTGTAAATTATATATTTTTTCATTCACAGGCTTTTATACATAATTAAAAAAACTTATGTGGGTGGCCCTAACTTATTAGATATATCTTCTTTTCTCTCTTTAAGATGTTAAGTACTGATAAGAAAGAAAATGTTGATTATAAATTTTTAGAAAACAGGTTTTCTACAGGTTTGTACAGTGAGTTCTTGAATTTTACATACATATGTCACAGAGTCCATTACAGGGGTTTCTTTTCTGAGAATTATGAACACATGTTTAATTTTAAACATACATAGTCACTGATGATGATTATTGGTATTAGTCTTCTTTTCTCCTCAAAAATTACAAGTATAACAATATGTAATACATAACCTAATTATAAAATTAACCTCTAAAAATCAGGACAAAGCAATGTAAATGAAGAAAAACTTTCTAGCATTTTGAATACAAACAATAAAAATCTCAGAAACACTTTTGAGATGATGAATTATTGTTTATCCAATTAAAAAAAGTATTGAAAGCAAAAATCATTTTCATTGTAAATAAAAAATTTCAATGACCTAACTACAGCATAGATAATTTTATTCCATGAACCGATCATACACTTAGAAACAAATGTTTAAGTTAAGATCTTTAAAAATTGCACTTCTGCTAAAGGTCATGCATTTTCAACAGAAAAAGAGTATAAGCAATTAAGTTGGCATTGGCTCCTATCTTTATGAACCCTCATAAGATAAAATTTGAACAAAAACATAATTTATTAACATGCACCCTGAACCTAACAAATACAACCTTACTTAATTTCTTTTAATAAGATATTTTCTCATTGTTTCTTCTTTGTTTAGAAACAAGTTTTTAACATTTACAAAAGCAAAGGTCTTTATTTCATGATTTTCTTTGATTTACTGCTGTGCAGATAAGTGATTTAATTTTTTTTAAAAAGGACAGGAAGACATCTCTGAGAGTACTCTGTTTTATAGTTTTTCCAGAAATGGTAGATTTATTATTTTTTCTAAAGCTTATTTTTTCCCTGTGCTTGATGATTTGCACTTACATTTAAAAAGTTATGAATTAAACAGATTAACTTCAATTGCAAAAGTATTCATGATAGGGTTTTAAATTTAGAAGTCTTAAAAAAAGACTTCTCCCTAGAAAAAAAGGATTTTGAACTCTGATAAAATACACAACACTTATTATCCTCTCTATTACTTTCATACAGGCAAGACCATTAGAGTGGACCATGGGGATAAGAAGGAAGCTGGGGTCCCACCTCAGGGGAGACTGAACAGCTGAGGTTTTCTCTTTATTACTTTCTTATGATTAATGTAACACAGAAGCTGCTAATGGGAGAGAGCCTTTTAGTGTTAGCAAATTAGCAGCTTCCAGACTAAAGCTTCCCATCACTCAGGAAACACTAACGTGCAATGGGAAGGTCCTTAATGAACAGTTACAGCCACTTAGGAGCAGCTCCCTTGTCTTTTGCAGTTGAGACCCTTGGTTAGGGATCTACTGGGAGTAGGTTGATAAGTTGTGCCAAGTCACAATTATACACAATAATATGTACACAATATAAACTATGTTATAGATGATAATATATTATTTAAAATAATATATAATAGTGGCACTTATTATAATAATTTACATATAGAGTATATGTAATAATTATATATAGTATATATTATACATACACACTATAATATATGTACTGTACCTAAATATTACCATAATGAGTTAGGAAGTGTTCCCACTTCCTCTATTTTATGAGAGTCTGGGTATGACAGTATTATTATTTGATTTTTTCATGAGAGCTATTTAAATTTTCCATTTTATTGATTTCTGCTATTACTTATTATTTCCTTTGTGTTATTCACCCAGGGTTTAATTTACTATTTTTATAGCTTCTTAAAATGTTAGAAGTACTTGATTTTATACCTTTCTTATTTTCTAATATATATACTTAAATCCATAAATTTCCTTATAAAGACTGCTTTAGTTATATCCCACAAATATGGATATTGTGTTTTTATGTATTTTTGTTAATACATATATATTAGTAATGTATTTTAAGATTTCTTCTCTAATCCATGGATTATGTAGTGTGTTTTTTAACTTCCAAATATTTGAGGGTCTTTATGAGTATATTATTTTATTCATCTTTAATTTAACTCTGTCATAATTAGAGAATATATTCTGTTTAAATCTTTTGAATTTATTGAGACTTGTTTTATGACTGAGAATATTATCTACTTCCTGAATAATTCATATACATTGAGAAGTTGTAACCTTATATGGGGAGTAATTCCCTATAAATGTTAATATGTTTAAGTAGATGGCTTGTATTGTTCATATTATCCATAGCTGTACTGATTTTTAAATTGTTCTACTGCTGAGAAAGGAATGTTAAAATCTCTATTAGTTACAGTAACATTATTTCCAGTTCTCTTTTGTTTTGTCTTGTATTTGGGAACTTTGATATTGGATGTAGAAACATTTAGCCGTCTTGTCTTATCTTGAATAAGTAACCTTTTGTTCATTATAAAATGAACCCTTTTAATCTCTAGTAGTACTGTCATCTTGAAGTCTACTTTGTTCTGACATTCATAGAGCCACCTGCTTTCTTTTGCTTATTGTTTCTATTCTTTTATACCCAACCTGTTTGTTAACATGTTTTAAAGTGTGTTCCTTACATGTATAAAGGACCTGTGGACAAAGCCAAAGGGGGTAGATTTGAGGGTGGGAGACAGGGATGGGTGGAATGGAGCAGCTGAGGTGGGGTGAAAATAGAGACAGCTGTACTTGGACAATAATAAAAAATAAACAAAATAAAAAAAATAAAGTGTGTTCCTTGATAGATCAAAGATACAGAGAACAGACTGATGGTTGCCAGAAGACAGGGGCTCAAAGAGCTGGGTGAAAAAGGTGAAGGGATTAAGAAATACAGATTAGTAGTTACTAAATAGTCATGGGGATATATATAACAGCATAGGAAATATAGTCAGTAATATCGCCATAACTATGTATGGTGCCAGGTAGGTACAAGAAATATCAAGGGAACACTTTGTAAAGTATATGATTGTAATTGAAAAATAAAAAAAAAGTGTGTTTATGTGTTTCTTGGTAACATGTAGTTAGATCTTGCTTTTTAACTTCAGTCTGAATATGTTAGCACTTGTCAGGGCAGTTAGTCCATTTACTTTAGGGTAATTAATTTCCGGGTTATCCTTGTGTTATTATTTTGATGATTTAAGAATTACAGTGCACATCTGTAATAATTAAATTAAATTATCCTATCATTTAATGAACAATTTAAGAACTTTATGACAATATATTTACAGCGTACTCTGCATTTTTACTGCTGTATATCATACTTCTACCTATGCTGCAGAATTCATGTGCCTTTTAAAAATTAGCTTTATTTTAGCAGCCATCTTATTCTGTGCTAATTTCAATGGCAAAAGCCAGAGATTTCAGTGCTAATGAAGACTCCAGCCTATTACTGTTAAGTATTTGACTTCTAACATGCATTTGTTTTAACTTTCTAAGACTTACCTATAGTCTCACATTCTCCATGAAGACACCATTGATAAGTGACATTTGTAGTAGACTGTATTAATTTTTCCAATTATTTTTTCACTCTCTCCAACAAAAGGGTTACTATGTGTAGAACCATATGACTTGAGTTCCATGATATCACTGTTGGTCTAATGATTTGCTTTTACCATTGAAATGTGAGTGGAAGTAAGAAGTTATATGAAAACCATCATGTGGATTTCTTGCTTTTCCTCTCTGCATTAAAAACAAACAAACAAAACTTCCGGCCAAGTTGGAGGCATAGGTAGACATACTGTACTTCCTTGCACAACCAAAAGAAGGATAACAACAAATTTAAGAAAAAAATACAACCAGAACTGCCAGAAAATCAAACTGTATGGAAGTCCAACAACCAAAGAGTTAAAGAAGAAACATTCATCCAGACCAGTTGGAGGGGTGGAGATGGACAGCTGGGTGGAGAGGATACAAGACAAGGCAGCAATTGGAGGACCAGGGCAGGCAAGGTGGTGGCCAGGTGAGGTGTGGAGCTGGTGGACCAGGTGGTCCCACACTGGCATGCAGATAAACCAGGAGGAACAACTGGGGAGCAAGACAGAATGCACAACCCAGGGTTCCAGCACAGGGAAATAAAGCCTCAAAACCTCTGACTAAAGTAACCTGTGGGGATTGTGGCAGTGGGAGAAAATCCCAGCATCACAGGAGAGTTTGCTGGAAAGACCCACAGTGTCCTAGAATGTGCACAAACCCTCCCACCCACGAATCAGCACCAGAAGGGCCCAGTTTGCTTGTGGATAGTGGGGGAAGTGACTGAAAGCTGGCCCAGAGCCCAGCAAGCAGCCTTGTTCCCTTTTGGACGCCTTCCCCACATATAACACCACAATGCAGCTACATGGGTTGTCCCACCCTGGTGAATACCTAAGGCTCCTCCCCTTACACTTAACAGGTGCATGAGACCAAAAAAAAAAATGGGCCAATGAAAGAACAGATTAAAGTTTCAGAAAATATACAACTAAGCAATGAAGAGATAGTGAACTTATCAGATGTATAGTTCAAAACACTGGTAATCAGGATACTCAC